AGCATGTTGACGATTGAATCCTCTTTTGGTTAACAGTTTAAATATTGAAAATCCATATATTCTCACCCTAATCTAATTATTTAAGGGTACCTAAAACAAAGCTAGCTTTAGCTAGTCACTTGGTTAGTCGTATAGCGGGGTCTGGAAATTGGCTGAAACGAAGCCTTAACGACTCACTAAGGGAACTTCTTTAAATTTACTCACCAAAAATTAAATATAAAAACTATACAAACGTTTATCAAACACGAGATGCGTTTTAAATCCACTTTATCCCCAAAATGATTCAAACAAGGACATCGTGCAACCTCAATTATCAACCTTCTTCCGCGTGAAGCCTGATTGGAGAAATTCCTGACAGCTGATTGGTTCGTTTTCTTCTTCGTTGGTTTTAAACAAACAAAACAGTTGTCTGCCCCCTGGTGACAGACCCTGGTGTGTAGAAAAGTTACCACTTCGCTTTTTTTTTACATCCTCTACAACACTTGCCAATGTTTCAAGCAAAAATGTTACGATATATTTATATATTTCCTCCAGTTTTCTAAATTCAAAATTATAACAACACTATGGACAACAGCATCTTTAGGCACTTTGTTTCTAGCAAATTGTCACAAAAATACGATTTGTTTACAGTTTAAGTTGAGTATCTAAAAAATATATCAAAAAGTAATTCAGGTTGAAACTCAGAAATTCTATTTTAGCACAAAAAAGTGATTACAAAAGCAGTATTAGCTGAAAAGTTGGCTGAGTGAAGATGATAGCACTTTGAGATTTTTGTTAATGAAAAGTGCGTTACAAATTAAATTCATTATTATTATTATTATTATTATTATTATTATTATTATTATTATTATTATTATTATTATTATGCATTTCTCAGGTTTTTTGCTGAAAATTTCCTCCTGTTTCTCAAAGATAAGACTTATATCACACTTTCAACACTTTAAATTCAGTTCAGTTTATTTATATAGCATCAAGTCACAACAGAAGTTATCTCTGAACAAAAACATTCATATACATTATAAATGCCAATTATTAAAGCAGATTGCGTTAAGTCTTCATTTCGTCACAGTCTCCCATCCTGAGCAAGCACAAAGGCAACAGTGGAAAGGAAAAACTCCTTCATAACAGGAAGAAACCTTCAGCAGAACCAGGCTCAGGACAAGTGGCCGTCTGCCTTGACTGGCTGGGTTTGAGAGGAACAGGAAGAGAAATGGACAGAGAAGAACGGGTCCCTCAATAAGAGGACAGACAAAAACAAAACAAAACAAAACAAAAAAACATGTTAAGACAGAAACAATTACAGATGCAAACTATTCATTAGTATTGATTTGTATCTATTCATTTGATGAAATGAAGTCAATTTGTCCTCTAAGTAATCTAAGCCTATAGCAGCATAACTAAGGGATAGGTCAGGAAACCCAATCCGACCCTAACTCCCATACTGATTTTGGAAACTCTGGGAACCACAAGTAAACCTGCAGTCTGAGAGCAAGTGGTCTGTTAGGAAAATATGGAACAATAAGATCTGTATTATAAGATGGAGCTAGGTTGTTGAGAGCTTTGTAGGTTAGAAGTAGAATTTTGAATTTGACAGGGAGCCAATGGAGAGAAGCTAAAACAGGAGAGAGATGTACGGTGGCAAATTTGGGATCAACTGAAGACTTTTTAAAGAAGTTTTTGGACATATAATCGATAGTCCAGCCTAGACGTGATAACTGCATGGACCAGTTTTTCTGAATCGTTTTTAGACAAAATGTTTCTAATTTGAGTAATATTACGCAGGTGGAAGAAGGCGGTTAATGTTTCTAATGTGGGGGATAAAAGACATGTCCTGATTGGAAATAACACGGAAGTTATTAACATTAGAACTGGAGGCCAAATTAATGCCATCCAGAGGAAGTGAAAGACTGCAACATTTGTTCCTAAAAAAGTTGTTAAATATTTTAATAGTGGGGGCTTCTTTGAGAGCTAGGGGAAGATTATTTCATTTCACAGCAGCACCAGAACTAAAGGTGTCTTCTTTTGATTTGGAAAATAGATAAATTACCCCGACATGAAGACCTGAGAGTCCTGACAAACACAAAATAAAGCTATGAAAAAAAAACGTTATCCTATAGTCTCCTCCATACGTGAGGGACTTTTATTGTGAAGTTCCAAAGGAGCGTCGAACAGGAAGTTGAGTGAAATGGGCTGAAACGGCTGTAAAACAAAAACACAGGAAGAAGTGAGATGAGTCAAAGAAATAATGGTTATTTTGCGACTGGTACAAAATATTGTGGACGTCTGAACGATGATGAACGCCCGAAAGGTGGAATTGAACCACTCTGCCGCTAAGCAGCTACGGGTTTGAAGCCCGCACTCCGGACCACCGAAGCTCATCCGGGCACTTTGCAAGCGTAGCTCGGAGTTTATTTATAGGACCTAATTGTTGTTCACTTTGACTGACGGTTTTACTGAAATTCAAAGGTAGGCAGATTTTAGCAGGTACCAATGGTTCGAGCAAGCTGCCTCTTGTTTTACACCGAAATTCAGTGAAATAAACGCAAAAAAGAGCAATTTTATCCGATAGACTCGGTCCATACTCAAAAGGCGGAATGTGATTGGCTGTCTGAGAGCATAAAGGGTGGAGCCACGTGCGTCATCACAGGTGAAAAGAACAAACAGAAATTACCTACAGACAAATTCACTGCTGCATTTGATTAATTATGTTTAGATTTATAGCTGTTGTTGTGCCTTCTTCAACAGGACATCACTGTAGTTATGGGTTTTATTTGTGTTTTGTGTGTTTGTTTTACTTGCTGTGTTTTGTGGTGATCAGTGACACCACTAATCTGACCACTGCTCAAGCACCCCTAAATTTTAACTCAGCACCCCTGAAAAAAGTAAACAAAATAAAAATAAATAAATGGGGTGGTGCATATCGTGGTTTGGGTTCTGTTTATTGAATTTATGATTCAATACAACAAAATAAACACATTTAAAAGCTAACAGATCATTGTATCCTGATGCATGCTCAATAATCCAGGTAGAAAAATCTAAAAATAAAAATTCAATCTGGTCCTCTGGATATTCAAAAAAAAAAATTTAAAAAATTGTAGAAACGTTTTTTCTTTCATCCGAAAGACTTCCTCAGTCTTTCTAACCGATCATTGTAAATGCTTGGTTTATTTACACAATGACTTTAATTGCTGGATGTGCGGCCCCTGAGCTGCTGGCTTTCAGTAACTGTGGCCCCTGAGCAGATTAGTTGAATATCCTGCTTTAGAGGGTGGAGTACAGTTTATTCCATTTCCAAAACCTAAACTGAGTCTGGAAAAATGTAAAAGATGATAAAGCCCTGCGGCCGACCTCATGAGCAGCTGAATACAACAGTGATAAACAGGAAGTACCACATGTTCATCTGTACGAAGGTAACTGCAGGTCAATCCTCCATTTTCTGTCATAATTACATCGTACAGTATGCTTAATGGTTAAATTAAAGGTTAATGCTTAAAGCTAGTTGTGCTTTATTTTGTGTGTTTTATATATGTTGCAACTTCTGGTTGGACAAGTTTAATCTGTTTGTTATGATCAATTACTAAACTGATTTTGTACAAAGAGTTTGTTAGTTTGTGCAATGTAAAGCAGAGCGCTACGTGTGTAGCATCTTAGCTAGCATGTCTGTAATGCACGCTGCTAGCTTAGCGCTACTCCTTGTTATTTTTTCATTCACTCAACCTTTATTTATTCAGGTTAATCCCACTGAGCCTCGAGGACTCATTTACAAGAGAGACCTGATTTCTTAACAAAGAATGATGACGACTGTGAATGACAACGACAACAATAGACAGTCATAAAATAGGCATAGGTATACAAATTTAAGCTTCTCTTATTATTATTATTTTTTAAAACAAATCAAAACAATCAAAACAAAATAGTTATTGAATCAGGTGTTTACTTATGTAGGTAAACGTAGATGTTTAACAACCCGTTACACCAGAATGCAGGAAATGGCATCTACTTTATTCAGAATCTTCTGGGGGAGAACTGGGGGCTAGGCACCCCTAAAGGTCAGATTCTAGAATCGCCCCTGGTGGTGCTAAAGCTAAAAGCCTACCAACCATTCACCAACTAGGCCTGCATTAAGAACACGTTAATTTATTTCAGTTTGCTCAGTTCCTCATACAAACTTCCACAAAGCACGTTGACACCGTGTCCCACAGACTGTAAACTAATGAACACAAAGAAAACACATGAAGCTATATGCAAAGTAGATGTTTGGAACAAAACGTGCTATTAGGCAGTGAGTGCACATTATTTTCATAAATTACTCTCATACAATAACCTTCCTTTCATGAAATAAAATGGTTGCAGATTACTTATGTTAAAGGATATGTTTGCTGTAATATTCAAAGGGTTGGCATTTCTTGAAGGAATACACATCATGGCAGAGTTTAGACTGATCTGAACGCTCATGCAATATTGCCAGATGTCACACTGTCGCAGCTACAAGCATCTCATTTTAGCACAATATCTGTAAGACAAATGGAATTATAGCCAGTTTCATGTTGGGACAGCTGTCTGCAGTGGCCATCTTGAATTGGGTTGGCTCCAAAAAAATAATCAGTTATAGACGTACATCGAGTGATTCTTTCCTGAAAGTTTCATTAAAATACGCCTTGTGGTTCATGAGATATTTTGCTAACAGATGAACAGACTTGACTCCAAGAGCCAATTGCAAGGTTTCAAAGTTTTTGTGTGATCGTTAAATGCTCAGAAAATGTGTTGGGGATCAGTCTCAGCTACTACCACACCACAGCTCAACATCTGCTTTTTTTTTGGAGTCATTCAAATCCAAGATGGCCGTCACAGCCAATTTATATATTATATAATGACAGATGATCACAATGACTCTATGTGGGAGATTAAAATTTAAAAAAATACACTTTATGATTATTTTTGCATTATTTTATTTTGATGAACAAAGAGTTTCACACGACGTTGAGTCAAAATCTTTGGGGCAGCATCAATAAGAGAGGCCTTTTAGTTTTTTTTTTCCCATTCAAACCATAAACTGGGTCCAGACTGGTTTACTGGAACTTGTTCTGGATGACCAGAGTGTCTGTTGTGTCCCCAGCAGCCGGTCTCATGCACGTCCTGGTCTCCTCCTCCAGCAGAGAGCAGCACATTCTGGCAGCGCAGGACTCCCCACAGGAGAGGCCGCAGACTGGGAGAGGAGGGGAGGAGGGTGCACCCCCGAGGAGCGAGGTCAGCTCGGGCTGAACCGTGCAGCAGCTCACCCCCACGCTCTGCAACACTTTAGTGACCCCCGACATCAGCTCAGCACACCTGGACAGATGAGACGTCGTTAAGTATCCGTCACATATGACCTCTGATCACCTCCACATGACCTTCAGTGACGTTCCACAACGCGGAGCTGTCGTCTGATTAACGAGCTCAAAAAGAGGATCGTCCTGTTCAGCCATGAGGCATTTGCGCTGATGAACACATCCTGAAACATTTCTTTAAAAACGTTTGAAGTTGTATAACCAAACTGTCGACTCAAAGCATGAAAACATGCAACGTAAGAAACTTTTTACTTTTTCCTAGGTTTGAATGTTTAAGCCTAAAATCAGACTGAAAGCAACACGATCACTATTTTTGTTGAAGATGATCTAAAATTCTACGCAGTATTTAAAATATGCTGAACTTTTGGATTATTTGATAATAAATTAAAAGATGTTTCCGGATTATGTAAAAAAAATAAAATAAAAATGCTCCAGCTCTTGAACATGTAAACTCAAAGTATTGAATTAAATCAAGATAAAAACATATAAAAAACGACCACTTCCTGAGAGTTGGATTCAAATCCATTCAAGAGATATTTTGCTAACAGACAGAGTTAAAACCAACAGGTCTTGTCAGGTTAAGGTCTTGTGCAAACAGCTGTTGTGTTGTGAATGACTCTCAGTTACTACCACATCAAATTTTAGCTCAATATCCGTGTAATCGACTGAATTATAGCCATTTCAGTATTTTAATGTCAGTTAGCTGCGGTGGCCATCTTGAATTATAATCAGGTGATGTTCATCATGTGATGACTTAGTGGGAGTTTAATTAAAATTAGTCCAATGGTTCATGAGATATTCTGCTAATCCATGCACACAGGCTAAACATTACTGCTCTTCAACAGGAGGCAGCAAAGATAAAAGATTCAGAGTCAAAAGGTCACAAAAGGTCAGCAGTCCAAAAATCTGAGGCCAGGATTCTTCTGAGGGTCATAAAACTAAGTTTTAAAATACTTGTTGTTGGACTACTTTAACTATAATTATTACAAAAGATTAAAAACAGCTGTCAGAAAGAATGAAAAGGGTTTCATGTTTGTTTCATCGTGATGATGCAGCAGCTGCGTTGTGTACTGGAACCAGTGACAGGTCAGGTCTCTGACACTCCTGGTTTTTGTCTCCGGAGCTGAAAAGTTTGAGTAAAACTAAAACAAGTCATTTACTCTGAAAAAACAAACAAACAAACAAACAAACAAAAAACTCCCAGGCCCAACACAAACCAGGTCTGATCCCTTTGCTGTCCAAGTGAATCTCACCTGCGTGCTGGGAACCCGGGGCAGCAGTGCACATGGACAGAGGCCATGGTCAGGGACTCGGTTAACTGCCAGATGTGGAGCTCGTGCACATCCTGGACTCCAGGCACGCTGGCAATCCTCCGTTTGAGGTCGGACACAGGCACGTGAGGCGGTGAGGCCTGAAGCAGCAGCAGTCCGTACCTGTACGCCTGCAAGGAGGGACCAAAACGCTCAACAAACAAAGATAACACGAGCGGTACACCAATGCTCCCCCCACTCCGTCGCTGAGGGATTTGAACAGTGAATGTTTGTAGTTTTTGAGATTAGTGTTTTTCTGGATTAGAATAGAACAGGGATTAAACCTTAATGTTCTTGTTGCAGGATATTCAAGTGAGGCTTTGCAGAGTGACAGATCCCCGTGAAAGAAGGAGCAATTTTAGCCAACACCAGGTGCAACGGCAGAGCCAGGGGGTGGCCAAAGGTGGCCTTGACCACCATAGATGAATCTGCGGACACCCCACCACCCACCCCAATCACATGAGCAAACTATAACTTTTAAGTGCTACTGTATAGTTTCCTCAAATGACTGGGATTGGCTGGTATACATTATTGGTGGCCATCTTGGATTTTGACGTGGCAACCCAGTTTTTGAGAGCCTAGATGGAGCCACATACTAAAATGGATGCTGGTACCACACTTCTTTTTCAAGTTACCATTCCAAGTCCCGGGTTGCTTTGTGATGGAGGACAATAAAAAGTGAAACTGGTAAATGTAACAATAACATAAGTTACGACCTGCGGTGCGGTTGTGGCGACCAGTACAGTCACAGCCAGCAGGGAGAAGCCAGGATCCAGGTAAACCAGGACCCTGTGAAGCCCAGAGCCGTGCTGGAGCTGTGGGACGATGATTAGTATCAGCAGACTGTTGATCAGAGCCAGAAGAGACGTGAAAAGTCCCTGAATGACAAAAATGAAGGACAGGGGGCAGACTGAGGAGGAGGAGGCATTCTGACTATCTGAAAAAACAAAGAGACAAACACCAAATCCAGGGGTTTAAAACACTCAACGTTTTGAAATATGCCGATAAACTATTACCTGCGGGGTTGCGACTCTCAGAATTTAAATCTGCAGCACGGCTCTGCGTTTCTCTGATTTCTGATTGTTTTTGCTGGTTTTTGCAGGCAGTGGTGGGCGTGCTGGGAGCTCCTGGATTACAGAAGACGAGCGCCCCGCCGTGGAGAGAACGGCGTTCCGCAGATCCAACCTTTGATTGGACGGTGTGCTCCCGGCCTTCAGACTCCTCTCCGACCCAAACTGTTGGAGATGAACAGAGGAATGAAAACCTGGAACAGGCAGATCCTTGTACAACAGCTGAATACACACTGAGCAGAAACACAATCGTCCAAACCGGCTCGCTCACTCTGAAAGTTCAAGGGTCATAAACTTAAACTTCATAATGACGCTGCTCTAAAGTCAACTTATGTTGACAAACAATGGAGTCGCAGCCATTTTGGTCAAACCTGAAGAATATCATTATCTAAGATCTCACGCAAGATCTTACCAGATGTGTTAGCACTCAGAATATGTGTTGTTAATGACTCTCAGCTACTACCACAACAAAGTTTAGCTCAATATCTGTAAAAAAAGACTGAGTTAAGGTCATTTGTGTGTTGGGTAAAGACAATTGGTTGTGGCAGACTTTATGAATTGGATTAGCACCAAAACTTAATCAGTTGTAGAAGTACATCCAGTGGTTATTTCCTGAAAGTTTCATTAAATTCTGCCAGGGGGTTCTGAAATATTTTGCTAACAAATAAGATTCACTCGCAATTAGTAGCTTTTGGAATTGGTGTTGTGAATTAATTTTTTTTGTGCGATACGTTAGTGCTCAAACAGTGTGTTGGGGATCAGTCTCAGCTACTACCACACCAAATTTGACCTCGGTATCTGTAAAATAACACAATTAAATCCAGTTTTTCATGTTTTTTAATGTCAAGTAGTTCGTTTTATACACTCGTCATCATGTATTGTAACGTCCGCAAACTTTCTCTTGCCTGTCCATAACTTCAGCTTCAAGATAACTTTATACACACGTGCATCATCACCAGGTGGAGTGTCACTTTTCATCATCCCAGCTTCAAGGTCAAGGTCACAAATCAAGGTCAAAGTTAAAACAAGGTCTTTGCTGTTCCCGCCCATAACTTCAGCTCAAGATAATTTAATGAAACTTTATACACACGTGCATCATCAATAGGCGGAGTGTCACTTTTCATCACCGCAGATTCAAGGTCACAAATCAAGGTCAAAGTTTAAACAAGGTCTTAGCTGTTCCCACCCATAACTTCTGATCTGCTCAAAATAATTTAACAAAACTTTATACACACGTGCATCATCACTAGGCTGAATTTCACTTTTCATCATGCATGTTCAAGCTCACAAATCAAGGTCAACGTTAAAACAAGGTCTTTGGTGTTCTCGACCATAACTTCTGAGCCGCTCAAGATAATTTAACAAAACTTGATGCAAATTTCTACCACCACTAAACAGCATGCTGCATGATTGTTTTCATCACCCAGCTCTAAGGTCAAATCAAGGTCAAAGGTTATATAAAGTCCTTGCTTGTCCGAGCCGTTGCAAGGGGTGTACAACGTGCAGAATGCGGTTGTTTTGTTTCCCAAACTTCCACTGTGTGTGTACCTTTGGGTTTTAACTGGTCACAGCTCTCTGTTCTCCCATCCTGCAGCTGATCCCAGTTCAGCACAAACAGCAGCATCTTACAGAGCAGACTGACTGCTGCGACCACCACGGGCAGCAGGGGCAGCTGTACCGGGTGGGGCTCCAGCATATGGCCGATGATTTCCAAGAAGTAGGAGATGCACAGAGAAGTCAGGAGGAGTGCAGAAATGAAAACACCCACAGCTGGGATCCTGCTGCTAGGCAAGGACAGACCACAGCGTGGAGCTGCAGGGGAGGCTGCTGGGGAGGAGAGTGTGTGCGAGGTACATGTAGGCGCCTCCAGGTTGGGCTGAGGTGAAGGTGAAGCAGCTCCCAGAGAGGAGAATGTGACGGGTTTGATGATGTTCCCGGTCTGAGGGTGGAGAAGAGTCAAGTGAATGACGATGAAGATAGTGTGGAAGCCATCTATCATGGTGATGAGGGACTTGCACAGCTGACTGACGATGATCTCACACAACAGCAGCAGCACGGTCACTCCCAGCATGCACCAGTGCACCCTCATACCCACAACTGCAAACACATGGAGTGAATTTAGATTTTAAACCCACAGCTGGGGCAGATTCAACAGTTGTGTAAATGAAAACAGAATGCAATGATTTGCAAATCTCATAAACTTTAAATTACATTTTATTCACATAGGAACATAATAAACATGTCATAGAACTTTACCCAAGGTTGATTTTTCAAAGTCACAATTTAACCACATTGGGATAAAAGAAGATGGTTAATGAAAGCTGCACAAAAATAAATAAAGGAAATGTAATTACCCTAAAGATGACCCACAGCCAACAATCAGAGGAAAGCTGGTCTCCAGGGTTTGCTTTTACTCCAGGATGCTGTGAAACCAAAACTGAACTTCATGGTGCTCCTCCTCGCTCCTCCTCTGCTGTAATCGCAGTCATGTGAGCAGGAGAGGAGGTCTCCTCACTCCTCCTGGGAGACACACAGCCCACCCACTCTTCATATACTCTGAGCAGGTCAAATATGTCTGTTTGCACTAATTAAATCTCCATTATGTCAGGATTATATCCTGTAACCAGATCAGAGGGTCACTCTAATCCAGAGTAACAGAACTAAAGATGCCTTACAGTCACTGTGCAGAAAGACTGCTTTAAAAGTTGCTAAGAGTTTTGGAACAACAACTCAGACAGGAAGGAGGTAGTTTAAAATGTTTCAAGTTTATTTGATCCACGTGTGGAAAAGGAGGTTTCTTGTTAAACTACAGAACAGAGGAACAAACAGGTGTAAAGTTACAAATACAACTCAAAACACACCAGGTTTCTAATGGCACAATACAAAGAAATATCAAAACATGTTTTAAAATATGCGCATTTAAAAATATATGTTTAAAAAATTTTTTTTTATGACAAATGATTTTTTTATGTGTTTGCTGTAATTTTCTACAAATTTCTTAGCAGTTTTTTCAGCTGTGGTCAAACTTAACTATTTATTCCTCTATAAATAGAAAAAGAAAAACTGTCCATTCAGACAATGTCTGCTCAGTTTATTAGCTTCAATCTTTCACCATCTCTACTGGTGTGCCCCAAGGTTCTGTCCTTGAGCTCTTCCTCTTCATTACTTACGGTATCTTCTTAGGTCATATTTTCCGCAAATTTGCTACCCATTTTCACCGTTATGCGGATGACACCTAGCTCTACTTGTCTACTGGACCTAACTCTACACTCCCGCCCTCCATCCTCACTGCTCGTCTCAGTGAGCTCAATCACTGGTTTTCCTACAATTTTCTTCAACTAAACAGCGATAAAACAGAACTCATCCTAGTCTGTACCAAAAAACACTCTTTCCAAATCTGAATGTTTTCGCTTCCCCCACCCCCTCAGGTCAAGAGTCTGGGCATCAGCCTCAACAGCTCACTTTGCTTCATGCCCCACATCAATAATGCCACTCAATCAGCTTATTTATTTCCACCTTCATAACATTGACTCTCTCCATCCTTCTCTCTGCCCTGCTTCCACTGCCATCCTTGTCCAGTCTTGTGATGCCTCAAATTGATTATTATAACTCTTCTTTTTGGCCTCCCCAATAAATCCCTTCATAAGTTACAGATGGTTCAGAGCTCAGCTGCTCGTGTCATCACCCACACCTCCTATAATCACATCGCTCCCATCCTGCAGCGACTTCAATGTTAAATTTTGCTCCATCTTCAAAATTCCTCTTTACACTTTCAAAGCCGCCCACAATCCTCCATATTTGTCTGACCTTCTGCAGATCTCCATCCCCTCCCGCTCCCTCAGATCTGCCTCCTCGCTCCACCTCTTTGTACCTTCTGCCCAGCTCATGGGGAGCAGGGCCTTCAGCTGCTCTGCTTCTCAACTCTGAAACTCACTACCTTCTGACCTACAAAACATAACCTCTCTCTGGGTTAAAAACTGGTCTGAAAACACATCCCTCTCAGATTAGACTATCCTTTTAAATTTAGCCAGGTGTACTTTTTATTTTAATGTTTGCTTTTATTGTCTTTAAAAAAAACAACTATTTTTGTTACCCTGTTTTTTCTGCTGTATGATAGATTTCCTTGAGAGTCCTGTGTATTTTTTTTTTAAATAAAAAATTATTATTTTTGTTATTAAATCAAAAACCCATCTAGATTATTGGGGGGGGGTCTGTGTGGAAATTCATTCATGAAACGTTTAGCGTTTGTATTTTAAAACTGGACAGCACTGAACTGTACTTGGAGATGATTTTATGTATATTGTTTTAGGAAATTTGTAAAACTTAAACAATGAAAAAGAGCGTTTTAATTATACTGTATACATTATTTAACGGTTGTGAAGGACCTCTCTGGGTGGAGTTCTATTTCGTATAGGCTACGCCCTTTAAGGCTGTCGCTGAGTGGGTTTCATCCCGTCATGCGAAGCATCACGGGATGAAACCCACTAAACGACGGCCTTAAAGGGCGAAGCCTATACTCATAGAATCTGGGGTTACAGTACGTAACCAACATTTACATGTTCTCTCTGTGCATGTGTGGGTTTTCTGCAGGTACTCTGGTTTCCTCCCACAGACCAAAAACATGCATGTTAGGCTGATTGGTAACTCTAAATTGTCCCTAGGTGTAAGTGAGAGAGTGAATGGTTGTTTGTCTCCATCTGTTCCTGTGATGGACTGGAGACCTGTCCAGGGTGTCCCCTGCCTCTCACACAGTGACTGATGGATATGGGAACCAGTGACCCAAAAAGGAACAA